CGCTCTCTCCAATTCATTCACTGCTCATTTTTGTACCTAGACTCCTACAGATCTCTCAGTTTTGCCAATTGATTTTTATCCCTCATCGGTTCGAGAGATTTTCTTACCCGCACAATATTCATATTTCATGTATCAAAATAACTGCTATAGTGTCTGCTTCTATTTATCCTCTCTTGTCGTCCCTACAGCTATCTTTTTAAATCGTTGCTGAAACGAACTAAGTGTTAATCTTTCCCACCAGCTCGCGATTCAACCATCGCTGAGGTTGGGAATCTATGAGGAACTAGACTATTTACTGGAGTGGAGTTTCGCAACGGTCTATAGTTTACGACAAGGTATGTATTTTCTCCCTATGTTTTTTATTACTTCGTGACTAGTTATAGAAATCAAGCTGAAAAGAATTAGCCAGTTCAATAGTGATGTATTGATGTTGGGGGTTTTATACCTATGTTTGCAAAGTTGAGTGAATCACCTTTTGGAAAAAATTTGGTCATTTTCTATGCATTTCAACGTAACTGCAAAATTGTTATTATAGACGATTTTAGTTTCGTCATCATAAAAAATTCACGTAATACTTAACATAAAACTTTGAGCTTAGAGTTGATTGCGGAGTTAGACAAATCTCGCGGGAGGTGGATTTTGATATCAAATGTATAACTGAAATATGATCCAAAAGTCTCTTAGGGGACATCTGATAAAATTGACTTATATGATTCAAACGATGTTCATTTTTGTTTTTGAATATCAAATTGGTTTTCTTTCGTTCTGAAGTCACAAATCTTTATTCATAAAATTCAATTTCTATGAAAAGCGACTGTATATTTTTTTATTGGAACCTGACTTCATTAATTCATTATAAAACTTACAACAATCATCAGGTTTACATGGAATCTAATTTTAGACCCTCAACTTCAATTGGAGGAGGTCTTTCGGCCCAAAAACATGATTGGCCACAATTTGTTTTAATATGGGCAAAAACATGGGCAACATGATTTGATTTTCTTGTTGCATAAGACCACCTTACAGAATTACTTCTCGACCATCTATCCGCCTCATCCTTCATCAACCATGCTCTTACACAATAGCTTCCAACTTTTGTCCTATCTCCCATCCCTTCATTCATCAACCTGATAAGATTCTCACAGTCGCTCTCAATAATCAGAGGTAGAAACCCTCGCTCCAACGCCTCTTTCATTCTAAAAACCATCGATCTGGCCGACACACCCCTCTTTCCCGACGAGCCCAACCCAGTAGAAACTGGTCATTGCAGTCCCTAATAACTCCTCCAAATCCAATTTCTTTACCATCCACGATTCCAACATCTACATTAAGCTTAAAGACCCCCTTATCTGGACGAACCCATCTCGCTGGGATTTGTTGCCTTGCATGCGTTTGAATTGATTTTTGCCCCTGAATTTCGAGGCAATCCTGGATCCAGCTTATAGCCTTCGGTATTATATCTTCTTCCTCTGTTTTCTTTTTAATAAACTTATGCATGTTACGCTCATTCCACAAAGACCAGATTATAGCAGCAAACCTTAGTATTTTTCCTCTGGGAATTTCTCGAAAACAGAGCATAACCATTTTGGGCATTCAAGATTCTCACCAACCTCGAAACACTCCTTCTCCAGACTCAGCCTCCACAATCTGCTCGTCCAACCACAATCCCGAAGCGCATGTTCAAGAGTCTCGATTAAGCAACAGAATGGACACTCCGGACCAGCTTTCGTTGATTTTTCGACCAGCCAACTCCCTGTAGGTACTGCTCTCATACTCATTCTCCATTGGAATGTCTTCACCTTCATAGGAATCTTGGTTTTCCATAGTTTAGCCCAGTTTTGTGCCCGAACTTCAGTGAAATTTGTGTCTCTTTTCTTAATCGAGTGATACAACTCTCTGTATCTTCTATACCCCCGATTTAATAGTATACTCTCCACCCTTGTCATGAATCCATACTCTCCTGTCTTGAGTAGCTGAATCTATAATGGGAATCGCTCTAATTTGATCACAATCCTCTTTCGAAAATAACGTGCTTGACAGATTCGTTTCCCAAGTATTTGTCTCCCAATTTATGAGTGAAGATACTTTGAGAGATTCGTTTCCAAGTAGTTGGGTTTTCCAGGGATCCATCTGTCTTGCCAAGCTCTGGTTTGATCTCCATTACCCACCCTCCATCGTAAGCCATCTTCCAAGAGATCCTTAGCTCCCATTAAGCTCCTCCGCACATAACTCGCATTATGCCCAATTTTAGTTTGCAAAATATCAGTCGAGGGATGATATCTAGCTTTAATGACTCTACCCACCAAAGCTTCATGTTTATTCATAAGGTTCCGCACTCGTTTTGCAAGCATTGCCATATTGAAACCTTTCAAATTCAAGACCAGTTCAGCCACTGTTAAGTTCTCTGCCTCCAGCGGTAAATCGTGGGCGAGTTCAGCCAGGGTAGGCCCGTCTTGCAGCCATCTATCAGTCCTGAAGCGGGCTCTAAATCCAAGTCCTCCCTCACCCTTAGTGTCACATAATCGATTCCAATTAACCCAATGGATCTTTGATTCCTCTCCTTTTTGTTCCCACCAGAAATTGGAAAGGAGTCCCTCGATTACATCCAAAATGCCATCTGGGATTTCGAAAACCATCATAGGATATAGAACTTGTGCCTGTGCAACAAGTGTTTTATTTAATCCAAACTCCAAACAAATACTTAAATTATTTGAGATGTTGGTCAATATGGTAGCTTGGACTATCCTTTTACGTCATGGTCAACTCTTAGAAACAACAAATATTCTTCATGAAACTTATTTTTTTAATTATAATCTTTTTAGATTGTTGTTGACCACAAAGGAATTTTATAGGATTTGGCAAAAAGCTCCAACACAGTATACTATGTTCGAACTTTGTGATATTCTATGCAACAAAAAATAGTATCCGTGATAAGTTCGAAAACACAAATATTATTCGTGATATTAATTTTTTTATTATAATTTTTTTAGATTGTTGTTGACCACAAAGGTTCTTTTATAGGAGTTGACCAAAAAGTTCGAACACAGTATAAGGTGTTCAAACTTTGTAAAATTTTTCGTGATAAGTTCGAATGCTTAAATATCCTTTCATATTAACAGTAGACTAATCCCTTAGAGTTTCTAATGTGGTTTTCAGTCCATATTGCCGTAGTTCTGTTCGGGTATAACAGAAAATCAAGTTAATAATGCCAAATATTATGAGTAAATACTTTTATAATGTACAAGAACATTAAAACGTACAATATTTTATTCTAAAATATGGACAAAAAAATTTAGATAGTGTAATTTAACATGAACCCATCGACAAAAATACATAAACCAATTCAATAATATCACAAACAACATCAACCATAAATATTACTTTCAAATCATACATAAATTATATAAAATTAAGGGTGGAAACTCTACAATCTACCATTTAAAAGCAAGACTTTGAAAAATAAAAGGGTGGAAAACTCTTGTTGAGAAGCTTCACTCGGGTGTTGCTTCCCCATAACTAACTAACTACCATGAACCGTGGGATCGAATGAACCGGTGTGTGCCAGGCAATTGTGACCCGTAGGAGGTGCAACGATGGTTAGAAACCATCATCTCAATTGCTAGCCAAGGTAAGCATTAGAGGCTACAATTTTAGCCCTCTTGGCCCAAACGATTAAGGGTTGACTTACCTTCTCCCTCAAACCAAGGCTTGGACGGCATAATCACAGTTAACCTAGGTGTCTAATTTAAGTAGAGGATTGTCCTTCATTAATCTAGTTAGAAGGCATGGAATGCATAAGAAAATCCAACTCAATTTTGAGCTTCTTAATTAGATAAGGGGGATTCTCTCTAATCTAGGTTAGAATAGCACAACAGATTGCCAAGCAAACAATATGCACAATCACCATGAAAAATACCTCAATTCTTAAATTAAACACCACCATCACACAACCATTCAATACACACAATCAATTACATGATAGTAGTTAGGGTTCTACAACACCCAAATGAAAAGGGGAACTACTCCATGCTAGACAAAGGAAGAGCACTAAAGATGAAGAAAGAAACCATCATTGTGATGCCTCCAACTCTCTTTGTGCTTGTAGAGATCCTCCAAAGAAAAGCAGCTTCCAAAATCTTCAATTGGAGCAAACCCTAACCTCTTCTCCCTCTTGGTTCGTGACTTTCTCTCTTTAGGGTTTCAAGAATAAGAAGGTTTCTCTCACTTTGGGCTCTCCTTTCTTCCTCCTTTTAGCTGACCTTTTATACTGAGATCGCACCCAGTTCACGGTCGTGAACATCAGAACGTGTCCGTGAACTCAGCGAGTTGGACCAAAACACATCGCTTCACTTATGGGGTTCACGGTTTGTGGTTCCAGTTCACGGTCTTAGCGACAGTGAACTACCTTGGCGTCAGTAACCTTAGAAATCCCTTTGGACGCTTCGCGGTTCACAAATTGTGGTTCCAGTTTACAGTCCTGGCGACCGTGAACGCCAATGCTGGACCGTGAACATCAACAGAATTCTTCTCTTTGCCCGGTCTTTGCTTCTTTTCTTTCAACTTTCGACTCTGGGGTTGGTTTCACCTGTTAGACTCTGAAATACATTGAAACACAAGAAATCTAGCGTAAAACCACACTTTTTGGAGCTCAATTGCCACAAACATCAAAGAGAAATGGGGATAAAAAATGTACAATTAGGCCCGAATTAATACTCGTGTTAAACTGGACTAAAGTGATTGAACTATAAACGCTAAACTCACTTAGCCTGCCAGCGGACTAAATTGGGTTTACTTTGAACACATTTATCAAATAAAAACTTCGGTTTGGCCAAATATTCCTTCGATGCAAATCCATTCTTATTTAGTGACAGACCGAAACAAGGACAAGAAATCACAATCCAGTCTTATCTGTTTTCTATCATTCCCCTGTTCCCACTCTGAAAACCAAAGTAATCTCAAGTCTTAATCAAGCAGAGTAGCTAGCTAGCAAGCTCTGCATTTCACTTGCAGCTTTCGAGCGGGGCGCCGCACAAGCACCGGTTATGGAAGTAAGCAGAGGAATCGAAGCTCTGCAACTGCCCACCGGTCGGAATCTTCCCACACAGCCGATTGTAGCTCACATTCAAGAACTGCAGATCCGAGTCCACCGCCGCCGCCGGTATGCTCCCGTAGATCTTGTTGTGATTCATATCCAAACTCGTCATGTTGGGAGGAAGCACCGCCACTTTAGAGAAATCGAATTCGAACAAATTCCTCGAGATGTCCACAGACTGCACGCTCTTCTCCGCCCCGAACAGCACCGACGCGTCGCCTTGCAATTGGTTCCTCGACAGATCGATGGCGAAGTCGTTGTTGTAGTTGGCCAGCGAGGGCGGGATCCCGCCGGAGAGGCGATTGTGGGAGAGGTATAGAGAAGGGAACTTCCCCTTGAAGCTGCCGAACGAGGCCGGGATGGGCCCGGTGAGATTGTTCCTGTCGAGGTGGAGCGCGTCGAGGTTGGGCAGCTCGGCGAGCTCGCTCGGGATCGACCCGGTGAGCGAGTTGAAGGACAGATCCAGAAAGGTCAGGTTCTTGAGCCGGGATAGCCACCCAGGAACCGGACCGGTTAGGTTGAGGCGGTCGAGCCGGAGGAAGTTAAGGTACTTGAGGTTAGCGATTGCGGGCTGGACTGGACCCGTGACGTTGGTGAGCTTGCGGAAGATGAGCTTCTGCAGGAAAGGGAGGTCGCCGATTGCCGACGGGAGCTGGCCGGAGAGCTCGCCGGCGAATACGGTGAGGGCGGTGATGCGGTTGGTGGTTGGGTCGCATTCGACTTGGTACCAACTAGTGCAGCAATCGGCGTCGGGGTGCCATGAGGCGAGGAGGTAAGGGTTGCCGAAGCTTTCCTTGATCTTGAACAGAGCGGCCTTGTCTCGTGGATTGCAGCGCTCCGTCTTGCCGACGGCGGCTGATAGGAAGAGGCAGAGGAGAAGGGTTCGTAGTAGTAGTACTTCTCCTCTCATTTCGTTTCCGATCGATTTTAGGTTGTGGTGGCCAAGGGATTGATGAAAGGTTTGTCTTTATAGTGATGGCCTAATAGGACAGGGAGGGAATTTTGAATTTGCTTCCTTCGTTCCTCCCTTTTGTCAAATGTCAATGGGTCTACTCTTTTAATTGATTTATTAGACAGCTCACAACTGGTTGCCGCGCATTCAAGTGTGTTTGCGGTGATATGACCAGAGACCAGAGACTATAGTGGGCAACATGCATTAGATTAGATCCACGTCTAAACTAACCATGCTAGATTGATGCACCAATTCCATTACGATTTATTGCGCTTAAATTTTGTATTACGTGTGAATGCTAAGAGCAGAAAACAATTATGTTCAAACAAAATCCAAGCCAATCAAATGGATCTTTAGTTGGTATTACGAACAAGAGGTCATCGTTGTGTTCGGATGTAAATTTGATAATATGTCGAATTTTGACCAGAGATACAGCGCATGCACTCGATGAAGTCCTTTTTCTGCAAGTTATTAGTATACTTTATGATGCTTTTACATATGCCTCACTCATTGAAGGTTTCATTGAGTTACTCATCTCATATCAAAATAGGTATGGCAATTGTACATGCCAGTATCGGCACTTCTTCATCCACTCAATACGGAAAGTTCTTGCTTTTATTAGATTTTAGCAAGTACGAGTAAGATTTGCATAGACGAAGATAGAGGGGAGATAGATTTTCGTAATTAGAGGAGGTCTAAATTGTCAAATTCATACGGCCACAACACCGAACCCAGATTTATTAATCCTTGCACTCACTCTTTCTCCAAATCCATTGTTTCCCTCTTCCATCTCTCTTTTCTCCCTGCGAATCACCAACAATTATGGGTGTGCAATGGTTTGGGCCGTACTGAACTGTACCGGTCAAAACACACACTTGGACCTGGCCACACCAAACGGAGTATAATATGGTCATGATCTTGATCTCACGAATTTTATAAATATTGGAAAAAATGAACCAAATAAAGTGACATTTGGACCGAATGCACGGTTGGTTTGGTCCTTAATTCATATATGGAATGAGATTGGTTTCTCTCTTACTATTGGACCGCAGTTCTCCTGAGTTTGGTCTGATCCGAATAGTTGCACACAACAATAGTGGCGGACCCAGGATTGTTGAAGAGGGGTGTCGCCTAGTGAAGGATTATCGATTATAATTATTAAAGTGGTGTCGGAAATCTCGTATTAAATTTTTTGTATAAAAAATAGGTTTTGCACAAAATTTTCAGACGAAAAGGTGTGGGACACTCCTTACTAACAAGTAGGTACGTCCTTCATCCCGAAGGTGACCCAAAATCTCGTATTAACTCAACTATTTTGGTCCTTATCCCGAAGGTGGCCCAACCTTCATCTATCGAGCAGTTTAGGCCGATAAGCCTCTGCAATGTGGCCTACAAAGCGGTTACTAAGTGTATGGCGGAAAGACTGAAAGAGTTGATGACATCTTTGGTTCATGAGACGCAGACGAGTTTTGTGTCCGGGCGCCATATAACTGATAACATCTGTATCTTGCAAGAGGTAGTTCATTCTATGCGGGCAAGAAAGGGTCGGACAGGTTGGATGACGTTTGTAAGAGCATACGACCGGATAAGGTGGGAGTTTGTAAGAAATACGCTCCAGGCAGCAGGCGCCCCTCCCAAATTCTTGGAGCTGACCATGACGTGCATTACGTCAGCTGCCATGCAGATTCAGTGGGATGGTGGACTAACAGAGCCTTTCTATCCGTCGAGAGGTCTCCGTCAGGGCTTCCCGTTATCGTCATACCTCTTCACTCTATGCATGGAGAGGCTCGGACACCTGATCGACGACGCTGTGACAAGTGGCCAATGGAAGCCGATAAAGCTTATGAGTTCTAGGCCGCTTCTATCTCACATGTTCTTAGCAGACGACCTTATTCTGTTTGGGGAGGCGACGATGGAACAGGTGCAAGTGATTTTGAATTGCTTCGAGCTTTTTGGAGGAGCCTCAGGCCAGAGGATCGACAAACCAAAATCTCGGGTCTTTTTTTTCAGCCAATGTCTTGCCTCACGCTCGCCATAGTCTGAGTGAAGCACTTGAGAATCCCGAGACTCTCAATCTGGGCAGGTACCTGGGCGTGTCGGTTATCCATGATCGGATTTCAAAAGCTACCTACACAGACTTGATAGATAAAATAGACTCGAGGCTTGCATGATGGAAAGCCTCTACAATGTCGCTGGCTGGCAAGATCACATTAGCGCAATCGGTGCTCTCCTCCCTCACAGCTTATACTATGCAAACAGCGTTTCTACCGGCGAGTGTGCGTGACTATATTGACAAGAAGAGAAGGGCATTTTTATGGGGGAGTACAGACCAAGGGAGGAAAATTCATCTTGTGGACTGGGAGACCCTCTGCAGGCCGAAGGCGGAAGGAGCGTTGGGCCTTAGAGATGCCACGAAGACGAATGAAGCCTACATGTTAAAAATTGCTTGGCGTTTGCTCACGAACCCAAATGATTTGTGGGCCAAAGTGATCCGGTCGAAATACTTTCGTCAAACAAAGGGAGGTTTGGTGGCTCGGACGACGGGAAGGTTATCTAACCTTTGGCGGGATGTGTTGAGGGTGGTGCACCTCGTAGAGGAGGCTTCGATTTGGAACGTTAGGAATGGAAGGGTGGCCAGGTTTTGGAGTGACCGGTGGATGGCGGACGAATTGCTCCTGAAGGATTCAGCGCCCAATCTCCCATTGCTGAATTTGTGATAAATGGTGAGTGGAACAAGGATTTTTTAAATGCGTACTTACCTCCCCATGTTGTCTCGCAGGTTGAACTCCACCCGATCCCGGCGTAACCAGAAGACGACATACGAGTGTGGCGTTTCTCCCACTCTGGCACATTTACCTTGAAGACGGCGTACGAGTTGCTGGATAGTGGAGTCGCAAGCAGCATTGACATCCAGCCTGGCGCACGATTTGGCGGACTCCCACCATGCAGAGAGTTCGGACATTCTTGTGGCTGATGGTTCACGGCAGGCTGCTGACGAATGCTGAACGCCAACGCCGCCACCTGACGGAAGACGGCAGCTGCAAAATTTGTGGAGGAGCCAGCGAGACAGCAATGCACGTTGTACGGGACTGTCCTTTTGCCAGAGCTGTGTGGGCGGAATTCCTGGAGAGCGAGCCTGACAGCAGTTTCTTCGAGCCGGATATGAAGCGATGGTCTCTTCACTACCTATCCAGTCGTAGTAATGTGGTTGACCCTACTTTGTTTGCAGGCACGTGTTGGCTACTGTGGAAAAACCGGAATAGCCACTTGTTCGATGGTGAGCTGAAGACCTATGCACAAATTCAGTTTGACGTCAAGCAGCTAAAGCATCGGATTCGCACCGCATTTGAGCAGGAAAGTCGCATTTTCAGAGCCGGGGGACTCCGGGAATGATGACTCATTGGCTGGCAACCACCACAAACTGGCTGGCTGTGCATGAATACCGATGGCTCAGTGATACAGGCACACGAGAGCACGACGTGTGGAGGAATCGTTAGGAGAGACGATGATCGCTTTATCAAAGCTTTTTCAGCGAACCTTGGAGGGGGTTCAATCACTCGAGCAGAGATGGCTGGAATTGTGCATGGGTTGAAACTTGCCTGGGAAGAAGGGGCTAGGAAGGTGATTTTTCAGACAGACTCCAGCACGACGATTTCTCTTATTGACTCTGCAACGACCAACCACCCACATTACACGAGCGTTGCTGAGATTCGGCGCTGGCTAGACAAACCTTGGCAGGTCAAGATTGAGCATGTGTACCGTGAGGCGAACTATGTTGCTGATTATCTAGCCTCTCTTGGACACTCCCTACCTGTAGGGATGCATGTTTTTTATATTCCCAGCAACCATGTTGTTGTACTGGTTGTACTTTGATCGAATTGGGGCTCAAACGCCCCGATTGGTTTAATGCATAAAGGTTGGGGCACCCTTTAAGCGCCCTAAAAAACAAGTAGGACCGTCCTTGCACAACAACGATCTTCTCCTGTAGTAGCGTAGTTAGTAAATAAGTCATTTAATACATATATATATATATATATATGAACGTACATATTTATACATTGAAATTTTTTGTTTCCATATTATTACCAAGCCGTTCATCTTTCTTCTTCCATTTCATGGCTCACATATTAAACACATATAAAATTCATATAATACGTTTAATACTCATATTTAATTAATTAAATTATTAATTTTAACATTATTTATACATTTATTTATACATAATCTACCCGTAACATATTTTACTAAGTAGCCAACCGCTCCTCCATGAATTAGTAGTAGAATTTTATTTTCCAGGAATGAATGGTTCTAATTAATCACATGGAGACTGCCTCAGCAAGACTATTATGTATACTTTATTGCACAATTGATGTATCAATGATGGATATTTGGATTTAAATGGTTTATGATACTAGGTTTGACGCGTTAATGGATGTTGTATAAATAGATCATTCGAGTTCGTTTTGTGTCTTTAGCTCGTTTAATGTTTTAACTCACAATGTAGTATTTTTTTTTTTTTACTTTATTATCATAATTCTAGGTAAAACCGTAATTGGGTTTACGAGATGGGGAATGACGGCATCCAAAAATTCAGAGTTGGAATGAGATTGCAAAATTTCTTACTCGTGCAAGGGTATGAATTTGAGATTTGAAACTGGACATAGGAATTGATTTAGGATAAACATGCCAACTCTGCTACCATCTCAAAGCAAAACAGATTGCTAAACCGTTAAAATCGATTATGAACGACAATTGTGTTTGGTTACTTAGCACTAGTATGCTTTAAACGTTGCTAGCTTACCTTCCTTCTACCTTCCATAATTATCTATGCAAAAATAAAATATCTTTTAAACTAGTTACGCTTTTAAGCATGGTACATGAAACCGTACCGGATATGGTACCGAAAAAGTCAGTGGGATGATATTTTATGATAAAATCATGGTTTAAATATAGTTCAA